TAATTACTGCTTTAAGGGATCATACTCAGAAGGTGGGTTAATGAGCCAGACGCGTAAAGAGATTTATGGCTCAGCTTGTCCGTGGACGAGTATCCACAGACACCTTTTGGCTCTTTGTAACGCCTGTATACGTTAGAATAGTGTCATAGAAAAAAAAACTGATTTATTGCCAATTTAATTGGTGAGTAATAGTGACTGGTTTTCCATGGCTCATCCCTGTATTATCGGGACACTGAGTCTATTTCTCACGTGTGTGTGGATTGCCAGCATACTCTCTTTTGCAAATGGTTTGTTCGTGTTCTGGCAAAATTGCTGAGACTGTGGAGGGATAAAAAGCTCAGAGACAGCGAGAAAGCAAAGGAAGCCTGGAGCTGAGATAGTGAGGGTGGAGTCAGACAGGGTACAGGGGTGAGGGAGACAGAGTCCCAGCAGGGGACAGGGGTGAGGGAAGTGGAGTCATGGCAGGGGACAGGGGTGAGGGAGATAGAGATTTCTTTTTCCTAAAAGAATTCTCCTTTTTCCCTAAAGCTAAAAACATATTTTTTCACAAATTAAAAAAAAACACCTTGTGTTTTGATAGAAAGGAGTACAATAGTTTTTAGATTCTTAAATTTACATTTTTATATAGTAAGGGTTATTATGGTTTTAAAAGATAGGTCTTACCATTCTGTTGTATGAAATTTTCCCGTAATTAGGATCTTAGCTATGATGGGCCTACTGTTTAATTTTTTACGAACTTTATAATAAGGGGAAATAGCTTTGATTTTTACCAGAAAAATAGAATTGTTTTCTTGTACGCAAGGCTTCTGACACTGTGAGGCTGCCGTGGTCTTGTAAATGCCTCCTTTAGTTCGTTAAGTAAAATTTACTCTCATGGCTGGAGCTGACTCCCAACCTAGCCAATTATTTTAGAAATCCACCTGATGCTGTCAGCTGTCCGCTCATGCCGGAAGGACAGACACTCTCCAGAAACCATCCTCAGCCTGGGCTCTGACAGGTGTCCGTGTCTTCTGCTGAGGGGAGCAACCCTCCCTCGTGGCTCTGCTGTGCAGGTGAATCGCGTGCCCTGGCCCACAGTGCGTGGGTCCATGCTTGCAAGGTGCAGTTTCTATTCCTGACAGCCCCGTCAGCTCTGTCTCCTGTTTTACCAGATTTTTATTTTGAGTTGCTCCTTCCTGATCCTTAAATTAGGTCCTGTTTGGCCATTGTGCCTTCACAAATTCTTTTTTTTTTTTCTTGATAAGTTACTATCTTTGCTGTGTGAATTTGATCGTTTTTTCATGCATTTGGTTGCATGACTGGTTAGGGTTTTTTTTTATTTTCTACTATTGATAATCAGGATATGTAACTTATGATTATAAAAGCAGATTTTGTTTATATACACCATCTCTGGTGTGTATTTTACAGAAGGAAAAAAACTGTTTAAAAGTCCATTTTGATTTAGTCTCCTAGAAGATGGATCCGAATCTGAAGCTGGAGGGGTCTCAGAGGCAGGGCATGGGCACAAGGGCATGGGCACAGGGACGAGGCTAGGGGTGGGGGGAGGGCCCAGGCTGGCTACAAGGGACCTGACCTGGATCCCTGGCCCCGGGGAAATCAGGCCCGCAGAGCAGTCATGGAGCTGCTCCTCCCCTCCTCCCTCCCTGCAACCTGGGCTCCTCCTGTCTTTGCATCCAGGGATGATCATGCAGGGTGCAGGTGCCTGTGCTGAGCCAGGGACTGTGCCAGGGACAAAAGCTGGACAAGGCAGGTGCCAGGCAAGTGCCCTACCTGTTGTATTACCTCTTCAGCTCCTCTCCATCACTGTCCTCTCTATTTTCTCTGACACTAAACTGAGTATCTCCTATTTTAGCATTTCCCCATGTTAGCGCCTTCCTGAGAGCTGTTTGCTTAACAGAATGAGCAATCTGCTTCTTATAGCTGTAAAGACTCTTGGTCGGGTGTGGGTGTCATGCAGGAGGGAGTTGTATTGGCTCATCTTTGAGTACCCCATAGCTAGTGTGCTGAGTATGTCTTAGAGGGTGATAACTGCATCCTCACTCCCCTGTTCTCCCTTCCCTACTTCCCCTGCCCATCCTAAAACTGAGTTTGGATCAGTCCTCTTCGTGAGTATGTAACAGATAAAATCGAATCTGTTTGCAGTGAAAAAAATGAACATTAGTAGCTTTTTTGAAATGTGATGGAGTTTTCTAGGTTGCCGTTCATTAATAGCCTGCTGGATAATGTTAAAACAAAAATGTATTGACACATTTTTATGCCTGGTTACTTTTTTAGGGCTAGGACACTGAACTGACCAACAGTACATGCATCTCACACCAGAGGGAAGCTCGAATCCTCATATTTTGCATCTATTTTGCCTTCCTGGCTGATGCGCGTGTTTAGTTTCTAACGTTCATTCCCGTCAGTGGGCCTGGGGCCCTTCTGTGTGCCAGAAGTTGTTTGTCTCCCTTGGAAGCTCCAGTGTCTGATGCTGCTGCCTCAGTGCTGGTGTGGAGTGTTTTTCTCCAGTCGGGCTCTCGCGCTGAGCTCAGACGGTCCAGAGGCCTTTCTGCCTTGGGATGCCTGTGGCTCTCTAATGCACACAGTGCTCCGAATGGGGCCATTTCCTCCACTGGGCTATCCAGGAAACATGTCCCGTCTAGCTTAGAGTCAGGAAGCCCAGCTCGGTCCTTCTCGGGCACTCTCAAGACAGGCTGCGGGTCTCCTCTGCCTCTCGCTTTCTGCACCTGCTCATGACTTCAGGGTGGTTGCAGGGCTTTAGGGAGATGATGTTTGCAGAGTACTCAGAACCCTGCCGGGAACATTGATTAAGGTCAGGAAATTCAAAAGCGTCTTAAATCAGGGTTCTCCAGAGTAGCCCACGGGTGTGGTGAGACTGGAAGCCGCTGTGGGCCCAGTTGGGTTCCTGGACAGGCCTGTAGACCCTTGGGCTGACTCACAGGACAGATGCCAGTTGGCGAGTGTAGAAGGGTTGAAGGGCACTGTCTAAAGTAGGAGCACTGCTGGATTCCATCACTTGAATTATTTAAATCCTCCAGCAGGAAGCACAGTGACTTGAATGTGGCATATGTATTTTTAGAAAGAAGAAATATTGTAGGAACCCGAAGAGGCAGTGTTCAACCTTGGGACTGAGGAGACTGGACTGCACTTGGCGTTTGAGCTTTCACCTCCATGGTATGATTCTGACAGAAGTGAACAAAAAGGGCATTTGTACCAAGAAAAAAAGCATGCCACTTTTTTTGCTGTCTTAGCTTAACCTTAGTAATAGGACCACGGGGGGGGGGGGGGGGGGGGTTACTTTGCATTAAAAAAAAGAAAAATTAAAAAACCACATCTGAAATACTGACATGGTCACAGTGTCAAAAATAGTTGTTGTTTGAGCCACTCATATGTAGACTATATGTTAAGCAGTGAGAAAAAACTGTGTGTGTGTGTGTGTGTGTGTGTGTGTTTGTGTCATTTTTCCACACTAGCTTGAAGGATTCTATGGCAACATTTCCTTAGTATTTTTGTTTTCGATACCTGCTAAAAGGTAACGAGATAGCATTTTAAATTACTATTTATTTTAGCTATGCATTATTTTGTCTGTTTGAGTTAGTGAGACAAGTCTCTGCAAATGGTATTTTTCAGTTGTCAGGGATTATCATGCCTTTGTGTTTCCTCGGTTCAGCTAAATTTGAGAGAGTTGTGTTTAAGGGATAGCTTTCAACAGCTGCAATAATAATCAAGGGATATTCAAGGGATGTGCACCCAAAGATTAGTTCTGTTCCATAACAACATGCCTAAGTCCCTTTTTTGTTACATTCTCTAAACTTTTAATTTTGATATATTTAGAAAAGTTTCCAAAATAGTCCTAAATTTCTCAAGGAACCTAGTTCCATGTTCTGTCAGTGTTCACTTTTTGTGCTATTTCACTTCAGCCAGTCTCAGCTGCTTGAGATAGATGGAGACACAGTTCCATTATTTTCTCCTCAATACTTACCTGTGTTTACAAAGCACTGAAAAAGGTGAATAAAGGTCAATAAAACTTTCATTTACATAGTAAAAAAAAAATTTTTAAACCCCAAATACAAACTTTGCATTGATCTGATTCACTCCTCCTGGCCCTGCACTCAGGAATCATTACTAGTGGTGCTCAGGGACCCCTTTGTGGTGCTCAACACCCCCCTGGACCACATGCAGAGCAAGCACCTCACCCTATCTCTCCAGTCCTCAGAGGGCTTCTCAGAGACCTGGAATCCTCAGACTTCAAACCCGCTGCTTCCTTTTACCTATATTCTAGTTTGCAGAGGAAGGGTAGTGCCCAAATCAGTGCAGGCTGCAGGGATCTTGTATCTAATTACACGCGGCGCATCCCGTTGTCCCTTGTGGGCAAAGAGATGTAAATCGTGCTGAATAATCAGGCTTGCCTAACAAGGTGTGTGCACCAGTTTCCCCTGGTGGAGAGACCCAGGGGCATGTCAGAGAGGGGGCCATTGGCTGCTGAACAGCAACCTGCCCCGGGGGATGGAGCGTGAAATTGCCATTGCCAGGCTCTGCCAGGTTGATGGGGACTGGCTTAGGGTAACATACGTGATGCTGTCTCTGCTGCCAGCCGACTGCTCACACCGAGCGTCCAGGGACTCTCGGTCCCCCATGTTCCTGCCTGCTATAAAGTGTTTGGGCCTCGAGAATGGCGACTGGGCAGAAAACTGGCTGACACGTTCCAGTGAGCCCTGCTGAGGGGACATGTTTCATGGAGGGTGGGAGTGTAGGCGTCAGAAGTGGCCCGCCCTCACTTCTTGTTCTTTATGAACTTGGACAAATTCGTTTTTTAAAACCATTTATTTAAGACTGAACATTTTCAATATGGATAAATTCATCATATTTATTACACACAAAATGTTATCAGTGAGTAGTAATTCATCCCATACAGATTCATTTGGCAGAGCCTGAAAGTGTAGTATATTTTTATTCTTAAAATTTATTTCCAAAATGTTTGTTTCTCTTTCGCAAAGAAGAAATTCGAATGGCAAAAAAGGCACGTGAGAAAATGCTCTACATCACTAATCATCAGAGAGATGCAGATTAAAACCACAAGAGATATCGTTTCACACCACAGAGACTGGCCCACATCCACAAGAACAAAAGCAACAGGTGCTGGCGCGGCTGTGGTGAGAAAGGGACCCTCCTTCACTGCTGGTGGGAATGCAGGCTGGTCCAACCCTTTTGGAAAACAGTATGGACGATTCTCAAAAAATTAGAATTCGATCTCCCATTTGACCCAGCTATAGCACTCCTGGGAATATATCCCAGAGAGGCAAAAAGGTATAGTCGAAGTGACATCTGCAATTGTTTGTTCATTGCAGCACTCTTTACAATAGCCAGAATCTGGAAAAAACCTGAGTGTCCGAGAACAGATGACTGGTTAAAGAAACTTTGGTACATTTACACAATGGAGTACTATGTAGCTGTTAGAAAAGATGAAGTTATGAAATTTACATACAAGTGGTACTACATGGAAAGTATCATGTTAAGCGAAATGAGTCAGAAAGAGCGGGATAGACACAGAAAGATTGCATTCATCTGGGGAACATAAAGCAACAAAGCGGGAGACTAACACCCAGGAATGGCTCAGATCAGTACCAGGAATTTTGCTCCATGACTTGAAGGCCAGCCACATGTGCTAGGTGAAAAGGAAGCTCAGATAAAGAAGAGAACACCAAATAAAGGGTGTTGTGAAGACCCTCCCAGGGTGGGAGAGACATGCTAAAAGTAGTCTATAGACCAAACATGATTGCCACTCAATGCCTCTCTGGCAAAACACAGTACCCAAAAGAAGAGAGAGAGAATAAGGGGGAATGCCCTGCCACAGCGGCAGGGTCGGACGGGGGGGATGGGGGGATGGGGGGTGGGAGGGATGCTAGGACCCGTGGTGGGGGAGGATGGGCACTGGTGGAGGGATGGGTACTTGATCATTGTATAACTGAAACCCAAGCACAAAAATTTATAAGTCTATAAATGTACCTCATGGTGTTTCACTAATAAAAAAATGATTAAATAAAAAAAAATAAAAAAAATAAAAAAAGAATGTCCAGAAAAACTCCCTGACACAGAACCTCTTCCTAATTTGATTTTAAAATATTACTAAGTTCAGTGCATGCCTTCTTGATGTGCTCAGATCAAAATTACTGTATGGCTATCCCAATATCTCTAACTTCATTTCCATCACACATGTACACACAGAATACATGCATGAGTGTGCAAGCATATATGCATGCATGTGTGTGTGTGTACTGGTGGTGGTGGGGATGTCCCGGAAAGGCTAAGTTGTAGGGTATAGAGTTGGTGCAGCTTTGACTTCATCCCTCTCTCTGCCATCTGTCTGCGTGTCTCAGAAACACACCTGTGATAATCTTAATGGGTCACATTTAGGAGGTGGTATCACATGCATTTATCTATTTTTAAAAAGCAAGGCCTGTCGGATGGTGCCTGGTGCGTGCTGTGTGCGTGCGTGCGCACATGCAAATATAAACTCTCCCGTAGGGCCTGTGATAATGCCAAGCGTCAGAAGGAGCTTAAAACACAGTGAAGCTATAACACATCAAAGGCTCAGGAAATTCCAAGACAGCAAAAAGTTTTGTTTTCAGCTAGTCTAGTGTGGTCCTACTTCTGGCTGTCACCTTTTCAAATGCTTCCCTAGGCAAGGAATTATTAAAATAAAAATGTATACTTTGTGTTCGATCCTTTGATGAATGTGCCGTGGCTTGAAATTGCTTTCTCTCTTCCAGGTTAATATTATTATAATGCAACACATTTGCGCGCTGGAGTTAAGGGTCTGTCAGCAATCCCTCCATAATCTCTCATTTGCAGAGGATTATAAAGCCATTAAAATCTGCTGTAGGTTGAATCCTGGCATATGACAGCGTAGCCTGAAAATGGATTTTGTTCCGTCTCTGTCTACTCTAATCCCTCTCCAACTGACAGAAACACATGTGCGTGTGCTCACACACACACACACACACACGCACACACACACACATACACATGCATGCACACGTGTGCACACACACTCATAGGCTTTATTTCTTAAAGTGTTCCAGAAGGTACGAGAAGTGACATGAGCAAAGTCTGGGTGCTCAAAAGTGCCCTGTGTCTGATGTTTGCAGGGTCAGGGGGGCACTTGCAGAATCACTTGTGGTGCTGCGGACCATGGACAACTGGGAGAAGACATCCCTGGGTAGAGATCACAGCCCTTACTTATGTATCCAGAACAATGCGCTTTATAAAGCACTGAACAAAGGGCTTAACAGAAAAGTCCCGTGAGACTACAGAAATCATCACTTGGCATCGCTACTGTGAAACAAGCTCGCTTCCATGGGGTTTTGTTGTTGTTGTTGTTGGGTTTTTTTTTTTTTTTTTGCCTTTTTGGGTCACACCCAGTGATGCTCAGGGGCTACTCCTGGCTCTGCACTCGGGAGTGGCAGGACAGTGGGCAGGGTGCTGGTCAAGCACCCTCCAGCCTGGTGGGCGCCAGGGGGATGCAGGGAGAAAATAACAAAATGTCTTTTTAACTTTTCACTTAAGAAGGACCTATTGTGGGCTGGAGTGACAGCACAGCGGGTAGGGCATTTGCCCTGCACGCAACCAACCTTGAATCAATTCCCAGCATCCTGAGCACTGTCAGGGGTGATTCCTGAGTGCAGAGCCAGGAGGAACCCCTGTGCATCGCTGGGTATGACCCAAAAAGGAAAAAAAAAAAGGACCAATTGATACACGATGTGACGTTACTTTTTCTTGGACATCCTAGAATACTTGACCCTAATAATCTACAGGAATATTATCGTATTACATTGATGTGAAAAAAATGTAATATTCTAAGTGTAAGCTTAATTTTAAAGTTGCTTTTAAAGTAAGGGTGTCACAAAATTGATAATCGCCATTTAAAAAATGCCAATGGTGGGCTGCAGGGAAAGTAGGTGGGTAAGAAAGTAGGTGGGCACACCGGGTCTGACCCCTGATACTACCATGGTGTGGCCTCAACACAAACCGCTGAAACACCAGTGCTGTAGAAAGTGGAGGTGGTGGTATTGTGGGAATGAGTTATTTCTTTCCTTGTATTGGGAACTGTCAATGGCAAATGCAGGCAGGTGACAAAATGTCCCTACCAAGCTATGGTCTTTTCCTTCTCTCTCTCCTCTCTGATCTAGTCGCTACCTGTCACTCACTTCCTGCCCGGCTTGCGCACCCAGGGCAGCCTTTCAGGGCTTCCTCTGGAGCTCGGGGAGAGGCTGCCCACAGCACCAGAGTTCCATCTGTCGGGGCTCCTCCCTGCCCAGTGAAGCCTCCTGGCCCACAGAGCTCACCAGCCATGCACCTGGCAAGCTGGCCTCTCATCCACTCACCCCCACTGCCCACAACACCCCAGGACACCCGTTTTTTTCTCCCTTCTCCTTCCCATGGCTTGTTCAGGGTGACTTGACACTTCACATGCAGAGAAACCATCAGAGGAAGGAAGCATCCTGATACACTACTCGCACTAGGCTTCCCCTTCCCCACCCATGAATGAGGAGCACCGACCCCGTTCCTGGACCCTGCTTTAAGCATCCCTGGCCCCCACGCCCCTCCCTCTCCAGCCCCCCACAGCAGCTCTGGCATCAGAAGAGTCACGTCCCTTTCATCCTGTCTGCTTCACGCTGTAGCAGAATTCCCTCAGAAAGTCCAGTATTTCATACTCCTTTTCTCCATTTCTCTTGCTGAGGCCGCATCCTACAGTTTGGTCTTTGTCCCACGATTGCAGGAAAAGACGCTCACCAATGCACGGCCAGACTAGGTGAACCGAGTGAAAACTATTTCACCTCCTACTTTCTCAGTCTTCTCACAAGGTTCCCCTGACTCCAGAGTAGTCCCTAAGGCTGGCTTGGGCCCGTCTTGTTTCTCCCCCAACCCCCTCTTCCTTGGGCCGGTCTCTGCGGCAGAACACAGAACATAGGCACTGCATACAGCCTGAGGGAAACGCAAACTGGATCTCGGCACTACACCTGCTGAAGCAGTCCGGGGCAGAGGCGGGCGGGGGCAGTGCACAGGAGCTGTACTTCAAGTGGACTATAATGGGCTGTTATAATCACTACCCTAGGCAGCCCGACCCAATGCCCATGATCGAGACTAACTTTCTCCGTACAGCCCATGACTCCTCCCATCGCAGGCCAGCCCAGCACGCTACTGGCTGCTGCCTCCTACCCCCCAGACCTCCAGCCACTGTAGCCTCCTTCCTCTCTCCCTCCTCTCCCACTGGAAGCGGCCCCAGCGCCTCGCAGCAACAACCCCCGCCTACCCATCCTCATCACCGCCGAGACCAGGCACCATCACTTGGGTCTGTCCTGCAGCTTGTCACTTGCCCAACTGAGTCCACCAGGCACTTCTCACCATCTAGAGGTTAAAGCATAAGATGCTGCATGAAGTCTTTGGTGCCCACATGGTGGCCACTGATATCTGGACAGCAGCTGGAGCAGGCACCAAGTACAGACTCCCTGAATATGCCTTGCCGCGGGCTTCTTTCCTTTCTGTGTTTTGGGCCACACCTGGGGATGCCCAGGGCTTAACTCGGGGGCTCCTGCATGCAAAGCAGGTGCTCTCGCCCTCTGAACCTTCTCCCTGGCCCCCATGTGGCACATTTCAAGACAATACAGCACTCTGCTGCCTGACACTTTGTGGAAGTCCCTGTAGTCTGTCTTACCGGTCCATCGAAACCAAGCTTCCCTCCACATGGTCCTGTAACAGTCTTATGCTCCACAGTCCCCAAACATCCTGTATTTCCTGGTTACCATCAGGCCCCACAGTTAGGCCAATAGTGTCTTCTTACTGCCCTGAAGATTCCATAAAGGCCGGCACCGACTTGGCAGAGCCCTGGGAGACAGCAGGGATGAGCTGGCCAGGAGAAGGGTGTCATCATCTCCTCCAGCAGACCATCTCCTCAGGCCTACACTCAGTACCCCCCCCCCCCCCCCCAGCCCCTGGCTGCCCTGTTCACTCTGCTCGCTGTGGCTCTTCGCACTGTCCAGGGGCTGTAGGACGAATCCTTTTCGTTGTGCCACCAATTCCTTTCTCGGTAGTTTTATACGTGATATTACCAACTTTCCTCTCTTGACAGATGCCTCCTGCCCCACCCCCACGTGCCTGCAGCCCAAGTCCCACACTTTCGGTTTCTTGGTGCTCACAGGCCCACTTGCCCTAATGGCGTCTCACAGCTAGCTATGTCTAAGGCTGAGATCAGGAACAGTTCCTGGCGGAGATCCTTGTCCTGAGTTTTGGGTGACCCAATTGTGTGTGTGTGTGTGTGTGTGTGGTGGTGGGGGGGGTCCCAGACCTGCATCTGCTCCATCCACCTGAGCAGGGGGCAGGAGTTGGTGATGAGCCCACTTCCTTGTCCAGTTCCCCACTTCTTACTCTGCTTTCCTTTTGCCTCCACAGCAATAATCTTCTTTATTCTCCACGACATCAATACTGTTACCATATTTTTGTTCCTGAATCAATTTTCTTTTTCAGATCCCCTTAAAAAGGAAGGGTTTTTCCCTCCCTTCAAAATAAAGCCCAACTTCTTGACCTACCACTTTAGACAACCGAAAGAATGGTCCAAAGTTCTAGCTCTTCCTTTCCCTTCCCCTTCCTCCCAGGCCTTCCCTACAGCTAAGCTGCTCACTGGTCCTGCCACCTCTACTCCTTTTCTAGCTCTCGAGAGAATGACTTACTTATTGTTACCCATTTTCCAACTTCAACCGGGGCCACTACAAAGGCCCCTTCCCTAAGGCCTCCCCTCCTGGTGGCTGCTGTGCGGTGCTGGGCGCGGCGTGGCCGTGGAAGCGCGTGGGCGCAGGGAACCTGGGCACAGGTGTGCGTGGACACGGGTGTCTGCGCACACGAGTGTCTGTGGACACGGGCGTCTGTGCACACGTATGTTCGTGCACACGTTATGTCTGTGCACACGGCTGCCCATGCCACAGTCTTCTGTCCGAACCGCGCTGTTTCGCCCCGAGGAACCCTGAAGCCGCAGGTCAGAGCAGCAGCTCCGAGTCAACAGCGGCTTGCGCTCTGGCTGCCTGGTCCACCCCAGCACCCCAGGGACCCCAGAGCCCCTCTGGGGCTAGCCCCGCCCAGCTCCCAACGCCCAGTCCCAGGCCCGAGACCCTGCTCCGGACCCCGGATGGCCCCCCCCACCCGACTCCGCCCCCGACGGCGGCCCCGCCCCCAGCCCCGCTCCCCACGCTGACCCCGAACACGCCGGCATCCAGCCCGACGGCGCCCCCACCCCGACCTCCTCACGCCCACCCCGACCCGACCCCGACTGGGGTCCCCAGCCCCCGCCCCCCAGGTGCCCTCCCCCATCCTGCCCCGCCCCCGTCCGGCCGGCACCCCCAGACCCCGCCCCGACCGCGACCCCTGACCCCGACCCCGCGCCGCCCCGCCCCGCCCCGCGGGGAAACGCGGCCCCGGAACCTGCGTCCGTCTGTCTGTCAGTCCGTCCGTCCCGGGGGCCGCGCGCCGGGCGTGCCCGCCGCCACTCACCGCTGCTCCCCTCCGCGCCGCCGTCCGTCCGTCCGTCCGCCCGCGGGGATTCGGGATCTCGGAACCAGGCCCGGCCCGGCGGCGGCGCGGAAAAGCTTTGGCTGCGGCGGCCGGAAGTGACGTAGGGCGCTTCCGGTCCGGGGCTGTCACGGCCCCTCCGCCCCCTTGGTGCTGCCCACGCGTGGCGCGTGCCCACGCGTGGCGCGAGCCGCGGCCAACCGGTAAGGAGCGTCCGGTAGAGTCGGTGCCCGGGGCAGCGCGTGCGCCGGCACCCGCCACTCCGGATCCCCCCGGGGCGCGTCGGGACTCCCGATCCCTGCATCCCACCGGGGCTCTGGGACTCCCGACCCCCGGATCCCCCCGGATCCCCCCGGGGCGCGTCGGGACTCCCGATCCCCGGATCCCCCCGGGGCTCCGGGACTCCCGACCCCCGGATCCCCCCGGGGCGCGTCGGGACTCCCGATTCCCGGATCCCCCCGGGGCTCCGGGGCTCCCGACCCCCGATCCCCCCCGGGGCGCCGGGACCCCGGATCCCCCTGGGGCGCGTTGGGACCCCCGATCCCCGAATCCCCCGGGGCGCGTCAGGACCCCCGACCCCCGGATGCCCCCGGAGTGCGCCCGTACCCCCGGCCTGCAAGCCGCACGCGGGGTGGGCTAGGGGGTCTCACACGGACGTCGCCCGGACGGTGGTCCCGGCACCCGCGTCCAGCCGGAGCAGGTGCATCAAAAGAGCCCCCACCCCCACCCCGAGAAAGCGCAGGTGCGGGGCAGGTGGGCGCGGCCGCGCGGGATGCAGGGGAGAGGATTCTGGGGTGCGGAATCTGGGCTCTGGGCTCTGGGCTCTGGGTCTGGGTCTGAGTCTGGGGTCTGGGTCCGGGGTCTGGGGTCAGGGGTCTGGGGTCTGGATTTGGAGTTTGGGGTCTGGATTTGGAGTTTGGGGTCTGGGTCTGGGTCCGGGGTCTGGGTCTGGGGTCTGACCCTGCGGGCGCGGCCAGGAGGTCCCACCACACCTGAAGGAAGCTGGACCTGAGAGTGTGGTGAGACTTGGGGGTCGTTCGGGCCTTTGCATCCCCCTGTGCTCACTCACTGTCCCAGACAAAGACGCAGGGCTGGGCTTCCTGTGGCCGGGGAGAGTTTAGTTAAGGTTTGTGGGTTTTTTACCTCCCAGTCCCGGGTTGTAAGCCTGTTTACTTTGTAGCTTTTTCATTGGGATTGAATGGAAAGTGGATACAGTAGCCTGCGGCCTTTCCCACGGCAACTGTATAGCAGATCTTGGGGTTTGAGGTCTCAGGCCCAGCAACTGAGTCGGCGCGCAGCCCTAGGTTATGTATCTGATCTCCTGGAGTCAAAGCGGCCCGCGGTCGGATTAGACCTTGGGCTGTGAGGATTTGCACTACACTGTATGGAGGGCAGAAGTCAGGTTCTGTGTTCTGAGGTTCAGTTTGATTTCCAGCCTATGTGGCTAGCACACATCTCTCGTGTTGTGGTCCAGTAAGGCCCGGGTCAGGCGGGACTGCATGACCAGCGGATCCCAGATGCTCCCTCCTTCCGGGAGAGTTGAGGGCGCTGTCAGCTCTATCTACCTTTCACTGTTTCACGTCTCCCCTTATCGGGCAGCTAGTTTTAACCATCACGTTTTGACCTTTAAGGACTTCATTACATGCATCCTCACATCACAGAATAAGCATCGAAGCAACGCGAAACTTGAGCTTTGGGGTGTTGCTGCTCAAAGTTTACTCAGTTATTGTGGTCACTCCTGGTGATGCTGGGGGACCAAACGCAAGGATCCAGCAGGTGTAAGACAAAACCAGGCAAGCATCTCAACCCATTAACTGCCTCTGCAGAAGCGGTTTCATTTATTTCCTTTCTTTGACACTGCTGTTGTGATGGCGAGGGTTGCACACCGACCTGTATGTGGGGGAGGGTGCAGTGGGTAAGGGCTCACCCATACGCGGGCAACCCAGCCTTAATCTTTGGTGCCCTGTTTGTTCCCCCGAGCCTGCCAGGAATAAGCCCTGAGTGGGCTGTAGCCCCTGAACAGACAAATAATAAAACGTAAAAGTTCGATTACTCCCATGCAATTTTAGAGTAAATGATAAATATTTAAGGGCTTAATATGGAATACATTATTTGGTTTTCACAATACTATGATAGAATCTGTTACTGTCCAACATGTTACATATGAAGAAAACGAGACAAAAATGTATTGCTGCTAACTCTGAGTCATTTGAATCCCGTTAGTTGGCTGCTAAGTTTTGGCCCTCCTGCATAACTTCTGCAATTCTTGGTATACAAATATTTTTGCTCAGTATGTGGAATCTACACGAAGCAATATCTCTGCTTTCCTTTATAAGTTTGGAGGGATCTTAGTTAATTCTTTTCTGGTGGTGAGCTTGTTTTTATTTTAAATTATACTTAGTTGGCTCATATACTGGAGTTATTCACTGGAAGCCCTCTCTGGTGCTGTGATTCCTGAGATCACTGAGTGGTTTCTGGGCTCTCATTCCTATACTCTGTCCCTCCTTGGACTAGAACAGTGAGTCCTGTTGACTACTGGAGAGCAAGTGTCAGGTGGGGGCGGGAAGGGAAAGGGAGGGAAGGGAGTCACAGCAGTGCTTGCAAACCTGGTGGTCGCAGGCCCAGGGCAATGGAAGAGCAAGTGGCCCAAATCCCTTGGGGAAGAGCATGGGAGAGGGATAGGGAGAGCGTTTTTTTTTTTCCAAATAGGGGAGGTTGTTTTTTTCCTATTTTTTTTTTGGGGGGGGGGAAGCAATACCCAGCAATGCTCCTGGCTCTGCACTCAGGAATTACTCTTGGAAGTGCTTGGGGGACCATACAGGATGCCCAGGATAGAACCTAGGTCAGCCACGTGAAAGACAACCAGCCGCCCTACCTGCTGCAGTATCACTCTGGTCCCAACAAACAAAGTTTTTTTTTTTTTTAATTGGTGAATCAACATAAGGTACAGTTACAGACTTACAAACTTTTGTCCTTGTTTTTCAGTCATACATTGATCGGGCACCCATCCCTCCACCAGTGCCCATTTTCCACCATCAATGGCCCCAGCATCCCTCCCACCACCCCCACTGCCTCTGTGGCAGGGCATTCCCTTTTGCTCTCTCTCTCCCCTTTTGGGTGTTGTGGTTTGCAGTAGAGATATTAAGTGGCTCTCATTCGATCTATAGTCTACTTTCAGTCCACATCTCCTATCCCAAGCGGGCCCTCCTAGCACCCTTTATTTGGTGGTTCCTTCGAAACAGAGAAAGTTTTAAGCAGGAGTGTTCTTGGCATCTTGCAAGGAATGAGCAAAGGGCCAGTACGGGTGTGAGTACCACATCAGAAAAGGATTGCCACTCGGAGCTGAAGCAATAGCACAGCGGGTAGGGCATTTGCCTTGCACGTGGCTGACCCGGGTTCGATCCCTGGCATCCCATATGGTCCCCCAAGCACTGTCAGGAGTAACTCCTGAGTGTAGAGCCAGAAGTGACCTCTGAGAATCTCTGGGTGTGACCCAAAAGGGAAAAAAAATGAAAAGGATTACCAGGGAGCTGGAGCGATAGCACAGTGAGTAGGGTGTTTCCCTTGCACGCAGCTGACCCAGGTTCGATTCCTAGCATCCCATATGGTCCCCTGAGCACTTCCAGGAGTAATTTCTGAGTGCAGAGCCAGGAGTAACCCCTGTGCATTGCCTCGTGTGACCCAAAAAGCAAAAAAAAAAAAAAAAAAAAAAAAAAAAAAAAAAAAGAGAAAAGAAAAGATTGTCAGGGTGTTTTATTTTGAGTGTGAATGAATGTGGATTTTGAGTAGGGAACACCCACAAATTTTCTGTTTGCTTTCATTTGTTGTGGGTACACCCGAAAGTGCTCAAGTCTTGCTCCTGGCTCTGTGCTCAGTGACTACCCTTGGTGGGGCTCGGGGGCCCCTTTGAGATGCTGTGGATCCAACCTGGGTTGGCCATGTGCAAGGCAAGCACAGTGACCACTGTACTGTCTGGCCCCTGGTTTTGTTTTTAGGGGCTTAGCCTGTTTTCAGAGAAAGAACTTTAGTGTGGAAGTTCCAGAAAAATAATTAATAGACTTTTGTGATATTTGTAACATCTGGTGAGGTTATAGATAAGAGAGTGGTAGAGATTCTACCACTACCAATGACTAGTCATTGGGAGTTTTTTGAGGAGTTGTTTCAGTTTAATTCAGTGTATAATGAGTCACATTCTTGAGTTTATTTCTAGTTGTGTAGCATAATTAAAAAGTGAAAAGTCAGTAATCAGAAGAATGAATATAGATTGTGAGGTAGGCAAAGTGTCCAGCCAACCATGGTCGTTAAGAGGCTCAACGAGGATCCAGGAAGAGAATCATGAATAAACTAGCAAAGAACCATCATTCCCCCCACCCAAAAAAAAATCAAGAAAACAATCCATTGCTTGCTGAGTTGTCCAGTAATGAATGACCTGCCTCTTGAATGGTCACTTTAATCAACGGCTGCTGAGATGAGAACATTCACTTAGAATAATAATTTTAAAAATAATTAAAAATAATTTCTGATTATTTTCTTTTGGGGAAAATTGATGCAATAAAATTGCATCATGCTTCATTTTATGAAATTCTAAGTTTATACATTTTTTTTTAGGAAATGTAAAATGTCTTTTCCTATATGTTTTATAGTAAGATCCTTTTATAGGTTGAATTAACACTTTTGGATTGATTAACATTTTAAAACATGTACAGTTCTCAACCCTGATGTAACTAATATCTACATTTAAAATGAATTGAGTATAGAAATAATAAATGTACTTAGAAATATGCATATTGGGGCTGGAGTGATAGTTTAGTGGGTTGGGCGTTTGCTTTGCACATGGCCGACCTAGGTTTGATTCCTGGCACCTGTATGGTTCCTTGAGCTTGTCAGGGTTCTGAGCATAGAACCAGAGGTAAACTGCGAGATGTGACCACCAACTTCTCGAAGAGGTTATATTTATTTAGAATTGCATTCTTTGAAGCTTGTTAAGCTATCAGTTCTACACATGTTGATAATTTCTTATTTGATCAAAAGCAATTAAAAGGTTTGATATTGTTACATCTGTAACTTTTCAGTTTCTATTATGTAACATGTAACTTAGCTGTTTATCTTCAAAGTAGTATTTAGTGCAGAGATCTAGACTTGAAGTTTGAGTATAAACTTGCCACCTTTTTTTATCTTCTTCAGAAGTATTTTTTTCTTTTTT